GACAAAAAAGACCGTAAGAATAGAAGAAAAACAAAGAAAAATGAAAAACGTGAAATTCCCATTACAAATTTCAAAGTGTCCGGAGATGGTTCTTGGAAAAAGAGAGGATTTAAATCACTGTACGGCGTAACGACTCTAATAGCATATTACACAGGAAAAATCATCGATCTCGTCATTAAAAGTAGTTATTGTCATGCATGTGCACAATGGAAAAATAAATCAACAAATTCTGAAGAATATCTAGCATGGAAAGCCGAGCACGACGAAGAAATCTGCACAAAAACTCATGAAGGCTCAGCAGGAGGCATGGAAGTCGAGTCTATGAAAACGATGTTTTTGAGATCAAATGAGCTTCATGGTGTGAAATACGTCAGTTACATCGGCGATGGAGACTCGAAAACATTTTCGGCTCTTCTAAAAATAAATCCTTACGGTGATGAACAAACAGTTGTCAAGAGCGAGTGTGTTGGTCACGTTCAAAAAAGGATGGGATCTCGACTTCGAAACGTGAGAAAAGCTAAAAAACTCGGCGGAAAAGGTAAATTGACGGAAGTTTTGATAAAAAAACTCAGTACCTACTACGGCTTAGCGATTCGGAGGAATGTAAACAGCGTTCAAGACATGAAGAAAGCTATCATGGCCACTTTTTATCATATGATTTCGACCGACGAAAACCCTCGTCACGAGAACTGTCCAACTGGCAGTGATAGCTGGTGCCAGTGGCAGCGGGCTACAGCTCTTGGGAATGCGCCTGAATCTCACCCTCAACCATTACACCACGATGTGCAGAAGGAATTACTACCGATTTACGAAGATCTTTCAAGAGATGACTTGCTGACCAGATGTTTAGGTGGCCACACTCAGAATGCGAACGAAAGTTTCAACTCGACAATTTGGCGTCTTGCTCCTAAACATCTGCATTGCGGCTTAAAAATTGTTGAAGTGGCATCATATATCGCAGCCGTCGTGTTCAACAAAGGAAATTCATCAATCTTAATGATGATGAACGAGTTACAGATTGTTGTTGGCTCACTAAGTTTCAACTTCGGCAAACAAACGGACGAGCAGCGCGTGAAACGCCAAAACCGACGCAGCAGCCTCGAGACCAAAGAAGCGAGAATAGCGCGAAAAGAACAAATGTTGGCCGCAAATCTCGCTTATGAAGAAGAAGAAGGCTTGCTATATGGCGCAGGAATCGATGACTAAAAGGTAGGAACTTCGTATAATTCATTAAAAGCCATAAACGTTCAGTTTTTCATAACTTTTTTTTCAAACGCGTTTTTCTCGAAACGACTTTTTTTCGGCTTGCGTGACGTCTAGCTCAAAAAATAATGAACCAATTTTAAAAAACCAAAGTGATTATTGTTCGTTATTAAATTGTCTTCGATATGAACCTCCAATCGGAATAAAAAATGGGTTTTAAGGGGATCCTACGGCGACGGTCGAACTTCGATAGATTAGCGCCCTCATCTAAGTGTAACTAAAATTGCCGATAATACCGACATTTTTAATTCCGATACTATTATAATATATTACCGACAGTAATTATCGACAGTTATTACCGACAGTAATATATGATTCATGCATGTCAGAACAGTTTCAAAAATTGTGTTCAATACGTGAAGGCAGATCACATATTTTTACAGCTCTATTACAGCTCTCGTACGCGTAGCTTATTGAAGCTTATCTACCGTATTGCTGATAATAACCTCAAAAACATAAATATATGTCTGTCTTTATTGCATAGTTTAAATAATTTCAACATTGCTTTACATTGACATGTAATCTTTTCATTATATCTGTCAAGAGGAATTAATTTCTTTTTTAGCACTATCTATTCTACTACTACTAC